AATGCCACATAATTTCTATGTAAAAAGCTGTATAAAGCTACGATAAGTCACTATATCAAAAGCCTATTGAGACTCAAAAATACTAACACCGTTATTTCTATTTTCACATAATATTCACATTAAGCGCAATTTTCTTCAGATTACTAGCGTCTCACACGTTCTAAATCCATATTACAAGTTTATCAAACAAATATTTGCCATTATTTACAGAATGGAAAGGCATAATATTCCTTTAAAGGAACTTACCTCACTCCCCAATCTTCTTGCGTTGCCATAGCAGCCATGACAGCACCAGCAATAGCAGCTAGAACCCCGGGCATTCCGTGCAGGTTATGAACACCACATGTGTCCTGGATTTTTAGTTTCTCCGCCAAAAATTCCTAAATTTAGAAAATTTAGAAAGGTAACCATGTACGAATACAATACACATTGCTCAAACTATATTATCTTAACATGACGTTCGATATTGCTCAATTTTTATGAAAAAAAAAAATCTAGAGACAGGGTGTTGGGAAACAATCAATACGAATGCCAAAAAAAAAATCGGATCTGCGGTTCTCGAAAATTTAACATTGTTTCAACAGAAAATATACATGGCTTTTACAACACTTCACCCTTGTCGCGTCGATTTTCATCAATTGTGCCCTGATTAAAGAGAACAACTGTCCTCTGATTAAAGAGAGCAACTGTGCTCTGATTAAAGAGAGCAACTTTCCTCTGATTAAAGAGAACAACTGTCCTCTGATTAAAGAGAGCAACTGTGCCCTGATTAAAGAGAACAACTGTTCTCTGATTAAAGAGAGCAACTGTGCTCTGATTAGAGAGAGCAACTGTGCCCTGATTAAAGAGAGCAACTGTGCTCTGATTAAAGAGAACAACTGTCCTCTGATTAAAGAGGGCAACTGTGCTCGGATTGAAGAGAGCAACTGTCCTCTGATTAAAGAGAACAACTGTCCTCTGATTAAAGAGAGCAACTGTCCTCTGATTAAAGAGAGCAACTGTGCAGTTTATATACTTATAATTGTTTTAAAGAAGGTTAGTTATAAAAGGTACTAACAGTAATGTATCTATATCCTATACAAGAAATCAAGCCGGCCACACATCCCATTATAATAGCTCCATACGGCTGTAGCGGCATGTTTGCAGTAGTTCCCACGGCAACACCACCAGCTAGTGTAGCATTCTGGATGAATTCCTGTTGTTATAGAAAAGGAAAAATGCATATCCTTCATAATTTAAAAAATGTCTTTTTCATGCATATTACCAAAGAGATATAACCATAATATAGAAAAAGCCGAATACCGTATTTCCTCAGCAAAATGAATAGAAATATTGCTTTTTATAGAATACAGAAATATAAAATTATTATAGACAACAGAAAAAATTGTTTATGTGTGGAAATAAAATATCCTGGTATTTTATTACTTTACGACTACATGTATTATTCTGAACAAGTTTTCTAAATAAAAAAGTGGTTCAGTTCAAACAAATATCCTTTGAGGCGAACTATTAAAGGTTCTTATTTGTTTGTTTGTTTGTTAACAATATTGTCAGTAATATACCGGTTGTGCATATATTAAAACATTAAAATTATCATTTGAACCGAAAATAAATCCGTTGTACTTGTGCTGATATTTGCATTTGAACATGCTAAAAAATATTACCATTACCAGTCAAACACACCACCATAAAATGTCACCAAATAAAGGTGATATGTTCTTATTATTTGCTATGGACAAAAAAATCAAGTTATAATACAAGGTATGTTACCATAGTAAATTTCCCTTTCTTATCTGTTAAAGCTGTAATAGCGAACGTGATCACCGTACAGGCACACAGCGAGAGGTAGGTGTTAATGTAGGCCCTGTGTTGTTCGTCCCCTTCAGATCCACCACCGTTAAAACTGGGCCAGTACATCCACAAGAAAATAGTTCCTGAAAAATGATCAGTTATGTTCTGTTAAATCAGAAATATTTGCGAAGGACTGATATTCACTAACTTCGCGATTTGAAGTTTTTTTTCGCGGACATAAATATTCGCCAAGTATCATAAAATAAATTAAAGTAGAAATTCACAGATATTGAACTTCGACAATAAGTCCGAAATACAGATTACGTGAAATTTTGTCCTCGTAAAATATTTAAAGTATAGCGGTGATAAATCACTGCAGCAAATTTACATTTGTATTATTTATGATAAATGATACATTTATGATAAATGATACTTAACGAACGGTTCTGTATAATTTCCCGGAACCAATTTTGTATGAAACCACAGAAATACGATTTAGAGATCTGTCACTTACCAATCATATAGAGAACTTTAATGATTTCTCCTAGACACGATCTGTCATTTATCAATTATAAAGAGAAAGTTTTAAAAGAGTCCACATAAATACGACATGTCACTTACCAATCATATAGAAACAGTTTCTAAATGATATCAGAGCAAAGAAATTCTATATATCACTTACCAATCATAGAGAAAAGGTCCGAGTGATTCCATGGAGATACGACCTGTCACTTACCAATCATACAGAAAAGACCTCACTGATTTCCCAGAGATACGAATTGTCACTTACCAATCATAGAGAATAGGTCTGAGTGATAACAAGATTCGCCTTTATGGTGGCTCTGTGCATGTTTGTTGTAAAGTACCCTTGAAACAGCTAGACCGAAGTATGCCCCAAACGCATGTATATACATAGATTCTCCTACATCTACCGCCTGAAAATGTATGTATGATAAAGTCAGGTGATTGTTGGTGATGATAAAGGTGTGCATTACTATGATTTTTTTTTTTCTTTTCAATGAAAATACATTGTTTATATCGATATCGTTTTGTGTAACAGATTTTAAAGAAAGCAGCACAGTGTAAAGAAATTATTTGCAGACTTCAATGTTATTTAATTTGGAAAAAAACGTTACAGACTTCAATGAATAGATAAAGACATGGATATTTGCATTGCTAATAATGATTAATGCAAAAACCGTTCGTGTGTTTTCAATGAAAAAGACATAGATGATTGATAGTGACCCTATACTTACATGTAACACATCATGGCAGACGTATCCGTTCACTTGGGCAACAATGACCTCAATTAATCCCATGATGAGAAGTTGTAGTGGACTAGTCCGACCTAATACTGCACCAAACGATATTAGAACTGTGGCAGAAGCAAAATCTGCTGTCACCATCCTGAAATACAAGTAAACGTGGAATGCTTTCTCATAACTAGAAGCCCTGGGTTCAAACCCTTCAAGAGTCCCGATCATGTTTCACATATAGTAAAAACTGGAAAAGGGAAGATCCTTCGGAAGCAATGAGAACAAGAAAAATATATATGAAAACAGCATATTTGGTTTGGTTGTTTTGCTGTTTTTTGGTTGGGTTTTACGTCATACTGGCATAGTATAGATCATATGGCGACTCTCCTGCTTTACTAGTGGAGGAAAACCTCAGGTGCAACTCCATGCATTTACTTCTGATAAGTAGAATCACCGACGGTCCGTAAGCTACATTGATAGCTTCATCACATGAAAGAATCCAAAGACCCTGTCAGGATTCGAACCCACAGCGGTGAGGGGCAAGTTGTTTGTAGTCAACGACCTTAACCACTCGGCCACGGACGCCCGTCGGTTTGGTTGAATCTATTTATGAAAGGTGATGTAAAAGTGCGACATCTCTCACGCTCTTTTAGCACCGGCTTAAGCAGTATAAAATATGGTGAATCATTGATCCTGACCCTGAAGGACTAGAAAAAATACCGTTATAACAACTCTGAAGTAAAATATGGGACAACCTGCTGCTGCGAAGTAGGAAGGTTATTTAGGTGTGGTCCAGATGCATCCTCTTGAAATTAAATGTATACTCTCTTTTAAGTCGATAAGAACATGTTTTTTTCATTGAAAAGACATATTATGACTAGAAAAACTTACTCCTCTAGCCTGACTTGGAATTTGTTCCCCTTAAAGATCCCCTCGTAGACACACCCTCTGACAAGCATTGCCCATTGGATGAGCAAAGATGAAATAAACATATTCATACTGACAGCAGAATACCCATAACGTCGCAAAAACGTCATCAAAAACCCGAATCCTATAAATATCATCACGTGCACATCCTGGAACGCTGCAAAAAAAAACAACAGAAATATAAATGGATAACCAAAAAGACCTTATATTGTTAAATATGAACAAGTAAAGAGGAAAGTTTGCTTACAGGATGTATTTTTGCATGTTTAATAAATATTCTAAGTATGTAATATTTATGTTAGGCTTGCAGTAAAGAAGCATTTTCAAAGACATTTTTTCAAGTTTCGTGTTCGGTCGTCAAAAGTCCCTTCATGCTCATATTATCATTAACCGGAGAATAACTCTCTTCGTGGCCTTACTTGTACATATTTCTTCTTTTTCATAATTCTCCAAAAGTTATTAATTTCCACTTTCCACTTAGTACATTATTAGGATTAAGATTCTAGCCCAGTACTTGTACATACATGTAGGAAAACTGAGTTGGATAAGGATGTTGGTTAATGCTCATAGACAGAAACAATGTGCAATGTTCAACATGCAGCACGCACAATTTTATATCAAAAGCTGGTATCATTTGTGCAATATCTGATGAAATATATTTCTTTTTTTCTTTAAATCTAAAAACAGCAAAATTATGTTGTTTCCATAACGTGGTGGTCGTTTCTTAAAAATTGAAAGATTTGTTGCATAAAATACCAATGCAATTTTATATACATGAAGATTGTACCAGCTATATTGGTTTGGCGATGATCCACGCGCTTTCAATGAAATATACAATGTCACTGACAAGTATTCTGTAATCATTTTACTAAGTCAAAATATAACCCACCAACAGCAACTACGAGTGTATAGCTTTTATACACGTACAATTGAAAGAGTATTATTATATTTTCATTTAGAGGACACTTACGTCTCCTGTTACTGCAGTCATGTTTACGAGGTTTGTCAAGGTTTTGAAATACAATATTGAGATTTATGAGCATTTCTTAACAAAGCAGCAACTGTTTTATATACAGCTGTAATACTATGGTAGCTGAGGTATGCCACCTTGTGTTTTCGGAACAAACAAGGCGTACGTTCGGTACCATGATATTAAGACAGAGACTTTCGCCACGCCAGCACAAAACAGATCTACGGCAATAAATGGTGTCTTTACATACTATTTGTGTTTGCGATTTCGTCCTTGTGGTTCGAAAAGTTAAAAAAAAGAAATCACGACAAATTGAGACAGTCGTATTTTCCAAATCTTCAGAAATTTCGTCCTACCACACGAAATTCTTACTTTCCCCGCAACTAGATGACAAAATGGCGTGGCGAAAATAAGAAAGGTAGCGAACACAAAGACGCGCCAGTCAGCGTTTGTTGCGTTTTCGCATTTCGCTTTTTTTCGCGTGCCGAAAACATGCTCATACGCCCGATGGCATAAATCAGCAACCATAATAATACTATTGTAACGTGAGAAACGAGTTGCCCGTATTCAGTTACATCCCATTAACAACAAAACTTCAAAAGATATTGTTTGACTCATATATCCACTGCGTTAAATTGCTGAATGAAACTATATAGGTCGAAATAAAATAGTGAAATACCCGGTATTGTATTTTTGGTATATCCATGTCTGAATTACATAACAGAGGGTCAATAGCAAGTACGACATGGGACGTGAATGATTTTGCATGTAAACAAGATGAATTTGGTAATGTTTTGTAGAAAACAAGTGAAAAGTATATTTATTTTGTTTGCTACATATATAAAACTGGGGTAAAATTTCGTATAGGTGTACTATATCTGTTTAGAACTGTAAAATTATGTTTTAATGAATCAAATTACATTCAATTGTATGACCAAGACGAAATTTCAATATAGGTTTATGCGTATTTGTTGTTGTTGTTGTTGTCGTTTTAAAAAATGAACCAAGGTTTTTAATCTGACTTTAGATTTATTGATAAATATAAGTTACAGAAAAAAATATTTTCTTTTTTAAATTAAATGTTGACATATGTAAACAAATTTCAAAAAAGTTCTATACCATGAAAGCTAAAATCAACAACATTATGCGACTCAAAATGGTAAAATAGTAGTATATGGATATATTAGTAGGACTACTTCGGAACAGATCCAATATTTATCATTTGAGCCGCGTCACGACAAAACCAACATAGTGTGTTTGCGACCAGCATGGATCCAGACCAGCCTGCGCATCCGCGCAGTCTGATCAGGATCCATGCTGTTCGCTTACCAACCCTATTACAAGTAGAGAAACTGACAGCGAACAGCATGGATCCTGATCAGACTGCGCGGATGCGTAGGCTGGTCTGGATCCATGCTGGTCGCAAACACACTATGTTGGTTTTGTCGTGACACGGTTCATTTATCATTTCTTGTCGGATATCGACAGTCTGATACAAACCGACCTGTTTGAAACCTACTAATTGAATTCTTCTATTATTATTTTCGAGCTTCTTTTTGTATACGAGAATAGTTAAAGAGACCTGCATAATTCAACATTTTCTGACGATTTTCTAAAGCAGACGTACAGTCGTAGTTTTGACCTAAAAGATTAAGCAGTAAGAAGTTCAAACACGTAACATGTTATCTTTTTTTCATGGAAGTCTTTTTTCATGGAAGCCTTTTTTTTCATGGAAGTTCAATGCCATTGACATTTAGGGGATTATGCTAAGTGGATTTACCTGGTCAAAATGTATTACAAAGTGTGACCTTATAGATCTGTGTATCGCAAGGGTTGACCACACACGCTATGCGATTATTTGAAAATATTTATTTTGAGAAAGGCAAAATACATCTTAAAACAACATTAATGCGGTATTTTGCTTTCAAAATTCCCTTAATTTTAAGCATACTTCAAGATTTAATCGTATCGTTTGCTCGTTTGCCATATATTTTTTAATCAAATAACATAATAATTATAGTGTTATATAATTACAAAATTTATAATATAATTAAATATCTTAATCCAATTTTAAATAAAAACACTAAGTTTCATACCAAAGAAGAATATAATTTTAAGGTTGTTTCAATTTTTGGATAATTTTGGTCCTAGCAAGTTCCGGCATCGTCTAATCATAGAAAAGACACTGATCTTAGTAAATGAAATAAGACCCAAAAATTTAATATTTTGTATTATATTTATATAATATTATAATTTAATATCTAAAATACAGATTTAATCAACAGGATGGCAGCATTATATTTCACGGACAATAAAATTTCAGAATAAATTATGTAAATTCAAAATAACAATGTATTTGGAATGGTTCCGACTCCTGAGCCTTTATAATTGAATCCCTCGAACATGCTTAAGTTTTTTTCAATGTCATTTTTAGTGATCCTACCTGTCGTCTTTAAGGGGTATAAAGTTATATAGAACTATCTTTAATTGGCAGAATATTTACTTGTATTTTCATTATAGATCTATTTCAAAGAATGATTTTTGTAAAATTCGGATTATTTAAAGTGGAGTGCCCATGCATGAAATCGTCGCTTATCAAACTCATATTGCATATTCTGATAGGGGGCGTTTAATTCTGTTTTCTGCGTTTAATAACAGACACTTTTTGGTATAACCATACAATATGAAAATGATGCAACTGTTTTACTTTTATTTCTTTATACATGTAAATAAAATTGCAAAACTGTTTTCCGTTTTACTTCTATAAATAAACTATTACTGAATTAGCAGTTAAGCTATTATCAGATTTAACCGTGTATAATTCTATTTTCAATGCTGTAAAACAAATTGATTATCATTTTAATGAAATCGTGCCATGGAGGCTGTTGGTGTGCATAAACTCGAAGTTTTATTTTTTTTAATTTTGCTTTCTTTTCACACATAAATATTAGACAGTAGGTCAACTTTAAACCTTGTTTAGTAAAGATTTTTCTGCTGATAAGACAGTGTTTATACGGATCACAGATTTATCATTGTATTTTATCTTTTACAATTTCCTACAATGGATACTGTAACATCGCCAGAGGGCGCCCTCATAATCAAAAGGTTTTATATAAATACAAACGGCGTTATAATGTAAAACGATAGCGCACATATTTTGATTTACGTTGACAATGGTATTTCCTGTCGTGTCTGCATAGAAAAGTGCCAAACGTTTATATTGGTCTTCGACACTCTGCCCGTCATACCATTTGTCAGTTTCAGTTTTGATTAGATGTCGTCTGCCAGAACGCAATTGTTACTTTTTAATTTTGTATGTATATGGCCTTATTTATAGTGACCACCTGCTCTACTATTCCATGAAGTGTTAGTGCGTGATTTTATGTGACATTAATTCATACTTCCTAAGAGGAAGAAATAACACATTCCTTTACAATTTTACAAGTTTTGCCAATGGCATAAATATTACATTGAAATTGAGTTATCATGAGTTACTTTAAATCGAATATATCTTCCTGTGCTTGATATAAGATTACGGAAGACTAAACACTATGCATGTACATGTACATATTCATGGTGAATCTTCGGACGAGTTCGGACACAACTTTACTTAGCCTAGTGCATGTCCTTATTAACGGACATCTTCGCATATTTGTGTTAAAAAGTTGGCCAATACGTTATTTGAAACTTTAAACATCACTCCTAATATGCCATATTAATTCTTACAGCACCCAGTCTTCATTTGACGCGTAAAAGAAAGATAAAATCGAAGTCCTTTTACAGTTAATGACCCTTGATATGATGTCTCACATTACCTCCCTTTTGAGGTCGGTATCAAATGTCAAGTCGGCGCATTATTGGGCAACAATGAAAGCTAAAGATTTAGGTTACAAAAATATTAGGTTGCAATGAAAATATTAATCGGTCCAAGGTTGAGGCTTAGTATTCCTGCCACTTATTTAAGCCGATATTACATGTTACAAAGCCTAATTCAGATCAGATATAACGCTACAATATATTCAACTCTGCAATAACTGTGTTATGCATTGTAACATTCATAAGATTTTTTCCCAAAACAAAAGAAAACTTGAGAAGCTGTCAACGCTTGTTACGTTTTTCAATAAAATTAGAATAAAACAGTTGACAATTTTAAAACAAGACATTATGGCAACATGGCGTTATGACAATATAATAATATAGCATTATGGCAATATGGCATTATGACAACATGGCATAATGACAGTATGTAATTATGACAACATGGCATCATGACATGATGGAAACATGGCGTTATGTTAGAGCGGTAACCGCAACCAGACAATAGTGAAAAACTGTTCTATGGCAATATAGCAACATGGCAGTAATGACAAGATTACAATAATGGCAGTCATGACAACATGACAATATGACCACATAACAGTAAAGGCAGCATTACAGTAATGGCAACAAGACAATAAGGCCACATGACAGTAAAGGCAAGTGACAGTAATGGCAACATGGCAATATGGCCACATGACAGTAAAGGCAACATGACAAAATGGCCAAATGACAATAAGGCCACATGACAGTAAAGGCAAGTGACAGTAATGGCAACATGGCAATATGGCAACATGACAGTAAAGGCAACATGGCAATATGGCAACATGACAGTAAAGGCAACATGACAATATGACCAAATGACAGTAATGGCAACATGGCAATATGGCCACATGACAGTAAAGGCAACATGACAAATTGGCCAAATGACAGTAAAGGCAACATGGCAATATGGCCACATGACAGTAAAGGCAACATGACAATATGGCCAAATGACAGTAATGGCAACATGGCAATATGTCCACTGCCATCATGACAGTAAAGGCAACCTGAGAGTGATGATGACATGACAATATGGCCACATAACAGTAAAAGCAGCATGACAGTAATGGCAACATTGCAGCATGACAGTAAAGGCAATATGATAATAATGGCAACATGACAGTATGCAAAGGCTATTTGTCAATTACATATGCAAAAATGTAAATAAAGTTGCTAACATTATTGCAAAGAGAGAAAAATGTTTGTAATGACATTGGTTTATTTATTTTGCAAAACATGGACAAAGTCTCAATTAAGCGAATAAATAATGGAAAACAAAATATTAAAATTACGTCACTGTAGCGAAGTTGTCACGTGAACGTTGAGCGCAGTAAGCCTGTTTCAAAACAGAATATCAAATTAATGGCTGGGTGTGAATGTGAAAAAATTCTATTAAATTATTTTTTAAATTTATTTTGTTAACAATAGCAATGTGCTTTTGAAAACTGTTTTGTATAAAACACGTGAATTTGAAACGAGTAATTGATGGTTTGGTTTTATTTATGACTTTCTATATTGTTCGGTTTCCGTAACATTATATTAACTGTATGCAGATGTGAAACAAGATATTTTTAAGGGATTTGAAGAAGACGCAAAAGTTTGCAGCCAACGAAGTTATTTAAAATATGATAAACAAGATCAAGTTTGCTCAAATATTTAAAGCAGACGATGAATTTTCAAAAGACAATAACGTATGCAGCAGGCGAAGCAGTTTGAAGCAGGCGATGAAGTTTGTAGCAGACGAGGCAGTTTGTGCCAGACGAAGAAGTTTGTAGCAGACGAAGAATTATGCAGCAGACGAAGAAGTTTGTAGCAGACGAAGAAGTGTGCAACAGACGAAGAAGTTTGTAGTAGACGAAGAATTATGTAGCTTACGTTGGTGTTTCAAGGAGACGATTTTGCAGCAGACATATTGTTGCTACAGAATAAACGGATTGTGTTATAATTGTTAATACTATGACACAGCTCAGTGTCATTGCAAGTGACCTATCTTTATGACGGTCATCGTCAGTGCAGAGATGTTGGCTTGCTTAACTATAAAATTTAGGCTGTCTTATGCAGGGAACAGCCTTTTTGCTTACATTTCCGGACATCAGGAATAATTAAAGGCACACAAATGTTCTCTATAGACTTTAGTTTATTTAACTGTCTTAAAAGTTATTTATTGTAATTTCTTTCGGGTTTTGTTAATATACATGTGTTATTAGTGATGCAAATATAATCTTAAGTTACCCTATTTTTCGAAATAAGTATTCGTAAATGTAGATTCAAATTACAGTAAATAATTTGCAAGATGATTGATCAACTTAAGATTTTTGTTGTTGAAAATTCAACTTATATTTTTCACATTAATCACTGTGTATGAATATACATATTTCTGTAGGGAACTTTATCTTTATTCTCATCGTAATCTTATACCATAAAATTTCGCCAATTTGGCTGATAAATAAATACCCCATGGTTTCAGCACAAAGCAGTGCCCAGTTTGATCCCAGTATTGCCCAGGCTTCCAGTGGACAAGGACAATAGGGTCTCTCTCTATGACGCGTTTTTGTCACCCTACCTTATAAAAACACAGGTGAAAGGTATGCTATAATGGATATATTTTGAGGCTCATTAATTGACCGATATTTTAACAGCCTTTGTCCTAAATTTAAGACAACAAAAAGCTAGTACATGTATTTAAAACTACTTATGAGAATAACGCATATTTTTATTATTTTTTTTCCTTTGTGCCAATTTTTATATTCAGAATAGACAATTTGCATTAGTTTAGCTGACTTAAAGCTCTTATAATATAAACAAAACACATTGTTGCATTTTAAGTCAAAAATAAGTGTATAGAATTATTTGTTTCTGTTAGACAATTATTTTTCTGTAATATACCATAGATATTATGATTCTTAAGGTGCATTCGAGATTTTTCTACTAAATGGTCTTCGTGTATTCACTAAATATTTCCTCTTAAAACAGATGAACTTTAATATATAGAACTGTATGGCATCCAAGTATAAAATTTTTGTATCACGTTATAAAGTATTATGAAAATGAACGTGGTCAAAAAATACAAATATAAAACAAAGATGAATGGAGGTTTAACAATTCTAATCACAATTTCGATTGCAAAATATATGAATTTCATTTAAATGCATTTCCTAGGTGGTTTTATCTCCATTTACTCGTGCATTACAGTGATAACGAAATGCTCATACTTACGGGGATATTTACGGCCAACATAATGTGATATGGACTCGTTTTCCTCTTGGAATGCCAAGTTGGTGTCATTGGTATAGGACGGATGGTTTGGGTCCGAGTATACCGGATGTGCTCGCCAGTCGTACTCCGTGAGGGTGGCAAACAGGACGATGAAAACTGTTTGCACGATTATTGCCACCGTACCAAATTTCAGCCTGAAACCACTTCCCATCTTTGCACGCTATATCCGATTTTATTCTAATATATTCTTTTTCAACAAATCAAAATATACATTAATGTCAACGGACTAATCGTCCTAGTTCAAATAAGTTTATACTATACAAAATATAATCCCTGTAAAAGTAGTTTTGCTTACAGATTTTCGTCTTCTGTATAAGCATTCTACAAGGGGTATTGTATTTTTGAATCATGGAGGTGTGTCTAACAGAGTGGCCAAATCAACCAAATCAACCAATCAAAAGCTGCCTTACATGCTGTCCATAAACCGTAAATTTTTAGTAACGTGATATGACAAATAATTTGAAACCATATACATTTGTCAGCATTTTTTTGTAAATATTGTTGCAGTTTGTTCGGAGCTTGTGAAGATGGCTATTCTATGCTTCAGCGTAGACACACAGAACTTAGTGATTTGTTCTTATGCTCCAAAACTTGTTACAACTGTATATTTGCTGTAATTAGTTTTTTTACAAATTAATAAATTTACCTGTACTTTTTAGCTTTATTATTATTATTATTATTTGTACGAGGGTGAAGTATCCCCATAGTAGCAATCAGATAGCAGAGTGGTTTGATGTTCTTTAATTTAAAAATGAAACACTTTCCCAGTCGTTATAATGTGTAAACTATAATAAAATAATAACTAATCTACCAGCATGTAAACATGACTTCTTTTATCTTTATCCCCACCTTGGTGTCATGTATAGTCAGTAAGTGTAAGTAGCAGAATTGATTCTTTAATTAATAAGTTGAATATTAGAAGTGACAATTAACTTTCTTTTCTAAATTTCTAGAATATGATTATGTCAGAGAAATTGTATAATCTCATTTGCTGCCTATTTACCGTCGACAGATCTTACATGTTTGCAAAATTATTTTTTATTTCTACATTTATGTTAAACTTAAGGACACTAATTTTCAATTGTATATTTTTGTCAGCTGACTGATTTTGAAACGGATAGCAATCTTCAGTATTTATATAACCTTATTCACCTCTTCAATTTAAAAAACCTATGTTTTCAGCGAATTTCCGTCAGAAACTTTAGCTGTTTGGAGGATGCTTGGTAATTGTCACATTTCAAACCTTTAAACAGATGGCTGAAACCTTATCCGATATTTGATGGATGTTTCATGCTATTTATTAGGCGTCATTCATAATGGTGAGGAAAAATTGATCTACTCCTCTAGATGAAAACAGCGTATATGTATCACCTAAAGACTAGATCTTTTGTGCAGTCCACGTGGCAAAAGAAGTCTGTATTACATGAGTTTCTGCAAAAAAATTGTATCGCCATAATTTAGCGGAAACATCCATGTCGTCCCAACCAATGTTATATCCGTGTAACTAACTCGTTTCATATACAATAACTATTATATATTGACTAATTTACTGGTATGATATTACATTCAGTTTTTTGTGATGACACTTATATTCAATATATAGAATGTCATCTTATACCATATCAAATTTAACATGGATGAAAACAGGAAACAATTGCATCTATAGGCCCCTATAAAGTTCGGATATGCAAACTTATTGTTATATTTTTTGTTTCAAATGCAAAAACGCTCAAGCTATTATTAGTAGGAATATAATGATAATTTTATATTCTACTTTGGTAATTAATATTAAAGGGCTATAGCATGCTTAAAGCATTGGTCTCAAATTATTTGCTATTAAAAAATGTTCACCTCGAAAAAAGTACTTTTCATTTACATTTTAAAACCGTGCTACTGAATATTTTCGAGAGCGACTCAAATCCAACATCTTCTGCTGAAAATAAATCACCTTGAATATTCTTCTACTTTAAGAAAATCGTCGTACTGAAAAGTTTCGAGTGCTTCCAACTGAACAATTTCTGATGAAAAAGTGTAACTATTTATGATGTAGTTCAAAATAAATGTTCACGACGGATTAGCACGATTTGTCAACCAATATTACCAACTGAACAATTTCTACTGAAAATGTGTAACTAAAGTCTATTCAGCATATTCAAGCATCTGAGTGAATCTGATCTGAAGGTTGAAGAGAAACTGTCTTTCTATTCACCAGATTTCCCTTTTTAAGTGAATCGATCAGAAAAAAAGTATTTCTTTTTTTTTAGTGCGCCCATCAGAAAATGTTTTGACGAAAAAAGTAAGTAACTATCAATTATAATAATGATAATAATATCTTTTTTTAAAAAAAGGTAACATATGAAGATATGCCATCGTAGATCTTAATTTTGATTGTGGCATTCTAAACAATATATAGAAACACAAACATAAAACGTCATAAAACAATAACAAAAACTAGTATTTCATTAAGATTTTGTCCTATAACTGTTTTGACTTTTAGATATTAAATATCATTTATACAATTTTCATTTACAAATATTTTACAAATATACACGTATAATAAGTATTTTAACATAATGGCAGAGTTATGAAGATATTTATTTCATCTGCAATATTTTTAAAAGATGTCAGAGACTTAGAACGTATATTAGATGGTTTCTACTCCAAATGTTTATACGATTGTAACAAAAAGGGTTTTTACCATGGTTTGTGCGATGTTTCATTAAGTGCCAATTCGTACTGTGACTACACATGGAGGTGAAGATGTTTGCATAAGTATAGCCGCTCGGAAAATAATAAAAGTTTGTCATTCCCACTTGCTTGATCCAAGTTTGGTCTATATCGCTGACATGGGAAAGAAGATGAAAAGTTTCGCCGGGCCTTTTCTGGACCCAAAAGATGTGTAATCAACTAAATACATGTACCAACTAGATAATGCTTAATACGACATATTTAAGTTTTGTGTAGGCAGTTTTAATTTCAGAGAAGATTTGTAGGGTTTTCATATTTTACTAAATCAGTAATTTAACTAAATAATGTAAAAAAGGAAAAAAAAAGAAAAAAAGTTCTTTGACTTTGAGCAGGAGAGGATTTCAAAAGCCTTTCCCTATAATAAGTGCCTGTAACAAAATTGACTTCCAAGGGCGGGATCAATTGTTTAGGTTTTCTTTTTTTGTTTTAAAAGTTTTCTTTTAGATTAGTTTAACAAGATATTGTTGAATACATCTTGTTATTTTTCATCTAATAATTTACAAGATTTATATAAGGTTGCTGATATTATACTACTTCATTTCTTTATAATATAATGTATGTGGTTTTATATCTGTCAAATAACTATAACGCAAATAAAGTATGAGCATAAAATAGACTAAAAATCTTTCAAACTTAAAATTTTTATACCTCTATAACAAACTTAAATTTAATATGTGTCGTTAAAATGATATAAATCTTGTCTTATATCAAAAGCAAACCTCTTTTTATGGTCTAACCTGCTTGCATAATATAGAAGTTAAAGAAGAAGAGGAGCCTCAATATTAAAAACGATAAATTTACATCAAACATAGAATGTGCATCTAATCGAGTCTAATGGTTGCAAAAATATGACAACAGTGATGTCAAAAAGGATCATAAAGTCCAAAATTTCTACTTGTGAATATGTGAAATCATTAATACAATATCTCTTACAAATTCGAATTTATGTTTCAGCTTAAAAGGGACTCCACTGAGGTTTTTTGACATGGAGGGACTGAACATATTTTCCCAAAATGTGTGTATCATTTGATGTAGGTCTGAACATATAACCTGTGTGCAAGTTTTCAGATCATTCCCTCTAATAACTTTTATCGTGCAAAATGACCCTAAAATTAAAGATACAAGCCTCAGGATGAGCCAAGATCTTTTAAGAAAATCAAACTTGAGAAAAATGAACTACGACGTTAAGAAAAGTAAAATGATTCAATTTCCAATGTTATATGCGATTAGTGACTTATTTTGTTGTATCTATAACCATATGTCTACTGCTTGAATAACAAATAAATGGCTATTTGCATATTTTGAGCTCTTTTCTCACAACAATATGTTTATTAAAATGAGCATGAATTTGGGGGCATGCTGCTTTAAAGCTTTCACTTTTTTACTTACTATATCTATTTAAACGTAAATGTTTTGGTTTCATAAAACACGATAATATATGTCTTTGTCAAATCGTCTCTTATATGATTTAGTTTGTTGTGTTTTTTTACACTCATCTACGTGTACATTTTACCAATCTTGTTACAAGCTACTTTGATCAGCGAAAAATATAAAAATTGTTGTTGTAGTATTTGTTGTTGTTATTTTTGTTGATGATAATAATAACTATATTTTTGCTAATGACGTTCATGGCGCTTATGGCAATGCCGCAGTTGTTGATGGCAAAAATGTTGTTGTATTTGGTGGTTTGTTGTTGTAGTAGTATTTGTTGTTGTTTTTGTTGATGATGATAATGATGATCAGTATATATTTTGCTAATGATGTTCATTGTAATATGATGATGGCGGTAGTCATGCTATTTTCATTGTCATGATGATTGTTTTGTTGTTATTCTTGTTGCTGCAGTCATTGTATTTGATGATAATGAAGATATTATTTTGATAATGATGATGATGATGATGATGATGATGATGATGATTATAACTATCATAGTGATGATGATGATGTTGTTGATGTTGTTTTAATTGTTGTTGCTGTTGTTTTGATGATAGAAATGGCAATTTGTATGGGTCTGTTGTTGATCAATATCATGATGGTGACTTGTTGCATTTAATTATAATTTGGTACATTTGCTAAAACTCTTTAATAAAGAAAACAGAATTTATTACTGTTAATCGGAATATAAATGGACCATGTAATCTTTAATTTTACACTATTTAATTTATATAAGAAATATTACTCTCCTGACTTCAAGCAGCTTGTAACAGCAGTTATCGCCCTTTTATTTCTTTATTTTGAACGTTTTAGAATTATAGATATAGCAGTTCATTCTATGTAATTTGCCTATATTTGACGGACAGACTTTGTTATCTCGTATTAACCACTTTAAAAACAAATAGGTGTTTCACATAAAATTATCGGGGGATATTCGTGAAATGTGGTCGCACGTCTACTTCCGACATACGTATCGTCCTGCGTGTATGACTGTATGTACGTACAACTCGCTTTGTGCACTAGAGAAACCTTCAGTGAACAGTATAACTCACGAAAATTACCACTAACCATCATTCTAACTCATTTACTGAACGCTATTCACGTCATGAACATTATCTTACGATCACTTCTATTATCACAGTAATTATTCACAGAGCAAGAGGAAGAAAGTCCAAGCTGAGCATATCGTGCTTCAAAACATTTCAGACCAAGGACTACTTTTAACTTACTTAAAGAGGACTATTTTCACCATGAACATAACTCATTGAGGAATACTATTGCCATGGACATTATTCACTGAGGACTTCTTTTACCATGAACATAACTCACTGAGGAATACTTTTACAATGTACGTAACTCACTGAGGACTATTTGTACCATGAACATAACTCATTGAGGAATACTTTTGCCATGGACATTATTCACCGAGGTCTACTTATACCATGAATAAAACTCATTGAGGATTAGTATTGCCATGGATATTATTCACTGAGGACAACTTTTACCATAAAAATCACTCACTGGGGACTACTTATACCATGAATATAACTCACTGAGGACTACTTTTACAATGAACAAAACTCATTGAGGAATACTTTTACCATGAACATAACTCATTGAGGACTACTTATACCATGAACATAAGTCATTGAGGAATACTATTGCCATGGACATTATTCAGTGAGGACAATTTATACCATGAACATAACTCACTGAGGACCACTTATACCATGAACAAAACTCATTGAGGAATACTATTGCCATGGACATTTTTCACCGAGGACTACTTTTATCATGAACATAACTCACTGAGGACTACTTATACTATGAACATAACTCACTAAGGACTACTTTTACCATGAACATTATTCACTGAGGATTATTTATACCATGAACATAACTCACTGAGGACTATTTATACCATGAACATAACTCACTGAGAACTATTTTTACTTTGAACATTACTCACTGAGAACTTCTTTCACCATGGACATTACTCATTGAGGATTTCTTTTGCCATGGACATTATTTACCGAGGACTACTTTTACCATGAACATAACTCACTGACGAATACTTTTACCTCGTGCATAACTCACCAACGAATACTTTTACCTTGTACATACTTAAGGCGGTTTTTACCTCCCAGTTTGGATATTTCGATAAAAATATATACATGCCATGTTTGTTATTATGTAACATTTGTCATTTATGGCATTTATTAAATGCCCTGTTTCATTCAAGCTAAGTGTTGTGTTTCATCTCATACCAAACAAGTTCGTCTTGCCAGTTATATTTGCTTTACCTGGACAATACATAAATATTTTTACATTGTGCATAACTCACCAACAACTATTTTTACCTTGTGCATAACTCACTAACGAATACTTTTACCTTGTGCATAACTCACTAACGAATACTTTTATCAAGAACATTACTCACCAATGTCCACTGTAACCAAGAACATTACTTACTGAGGACTTCCCTTACAATGAACAATACTAACCGAGGACTATTCTCCTCATGAATATCACTCACTGTGGAGTACTTTTACCATGAACAATGCTCACAGATGTCTACTCTTACATAACTCATATTATCTAATTCTCTAATTAATCACATCGTTTAAAGTTTTAATTGAACATTAATCACACCGTAAATGTTATTCATCGCTGAAGACTATTCTTACACCTAAGTTTATTGTTACCTTGAACATTACTTATAGAAGTTTACTCTAAGTACAAATTGTACAATACTCACAGAGTACTTTTCTTACCATGAATATTACTCACCAAGATCTAGTCTGACCATGTACATTAATTACCCAGGTCTCCTCTTTCCATCAACATGATCAACTTTACTCCTAACCATGAACAAAACTCACTGAGGACTACTCTGACAATGGCCATTACAAACCGGGGACTTGAAAAGCAGTGAACTGGTCTAACTGACCATCCATGCCCGATTTGTAAAACCGAAGTAATGATTATTTCAAGAGTTTAGCAGGAAGCCAGCTACTTCATGATTTGAATTTTAATTTACATCTTGCACGGTAGTCGATGTCTCGATACCCTCTGATCTGGTTTTGAGAGTATCTTGGATCGAACTAGATAAATAGTCTTATATTATCTTGATTATAGATATTATCTTGATTATAGAAAGTATTAGCCTTTTGCCCAGAAACAAGTAATTCCTGGAGATTTAAATTTATAGTTTCTTATTCAGCGTTGATTTATGAAGTCTGAAATGATGTCTAGTGAATGATATGTCAAGAATCTTTCAGGACCTGGGACATGCTTGTAAACTAATCAATGTAAAATTTACCTCTTGAAGAATGGGACTGGATAACGATATACATAATGTACGCGAGTCCTTCAAAATATTCACTATGGACCTCTACACTCTTTCCAGTCTCAGAATCTATTCTGAGAAAACAATTTTGAACTGTTCTCTGGGTATTCTGTTTATAAATTAGTAGAGAGCGCTTCCGACGGCACTACGGGTTTCGAACCGGCGATCGCGAATGCAAGATTTGTCACACAAGGAGGGAATTTCAGAACTATAAGCGGAATGAAGCAAAAGAACAATTCTCTGCTCCTCTAAGCTTGAACCAAAGCTGACCGGTGCGCAGGTGCATTATCATGGAGTAATTTGATAGTGATTAACTACAGCAGTGAGAACATGGTTATGTGACACTTCTCCTCTCAGACACATCGACACGAGCCACTATTCCATTACTGTCAAATAATAGAGCCTACATAGCTTTTTAACGCTCCTGCTATATCGAGCAACAACCGGGCGATCTACCCACATTTTGTTTCTGAGTACATTGTCGAGCTCAAAAATACAAAGCCACATTTCATCTCCTGTGACAATTTCGCCCAGGCGTCTAGGGTCTCGATCTTCGGACCTAGTCAATAAGGCCGAGGCTTTATCAACCAAGAAGTTAGCAAATGCTGGATCCAAGGGCACACATTTTCTTTTCAAGGTGGAGATCACATGTGATGCACCTAGGTCCGATATGTCACTAATCTCCTCAGCAGTATATCTTGCATCTTCATCAACTATAACTTTGACATTGCTGATCTCTTTTTCAGAGGTAGCGGATTGGCATCTACATTTCTTATACATTTAAACTCACCTGTCAATTGTACGATATGGAAAGGCATTTTCTCAATAACCGTTCTCATTTCTGTTGTGCATTTACCCAATAACAAATAGATTTTGCATTAACCTCTCTGCTTCTCTTTCAAATCACAATGCAACTGACCCATATACAAAACCACATGTATTTAAATGACCTGCTAAAATTTTATTGCACGTGCAAATCGTGCGAAAATAGACTGTTGGTAAGTAAATTCGTAAATCTTTCCAACGGTATATAATACATGTACTTTCACGTACAAATCATGGTTAATTTGAGTTGTTGCCACTTATTAAAACGTGCCCCTCGTACAAACATGAAATAAGTTTCCTTACATTATATAGCGGTTATTTGGGATATATTCCATCGAGTGAGAACCAAAAGGTATATTTCACGAGTGGCGCAGCTATGAGTGAAATATGAACTTTTGGTGTTCACAAGGTGAAATATATTTCGATCTTACACTAAACTAAACAAATTTTCTTTTTATTATATGCAAAGAAACGTTTTAAAAAGACATTAAACCTAATACTGGATGAAAAGCGCGCCAAATAATAATACAACGTGACGTCATTTACGACGTCACGTCATAAAGTTGATTCCCAGTATTGTGCACGCTGGTATTTCACTGAAACAACGTAAGGAGCTTAAATTCAAAACAGTGAAATTATCAAATTGATTATTTCACTGTTTATAACAGTGAAATTACCAGTTTTATATCACTGATATATTTCTATAAATCACCGAAAAGCATGTAATAAAAGAGAATCATTTTATTTAGTAAGAAAGATAACTCTTGAGGTTTTATATGCAACAGCATTAACCGCACGCACCTGCTATTTTGTCTAAAAATAGAACAATGTTTTGGTAGTTGCCGAGATTCGCTATCACGTGATTAGAAAATGGCGGCTGCTTGGCACAGAATTTGAGATTGGATCTAGTTTTATTTAATTTTCGGAATGGCTCGTACACTTTTCTATGTTTTATTTACATTTTTATGTCTTGTCATAACTTCTTCTCACGGAAAATATGTGGAAGGTGAAATTAATACTTTACAGGTGTGTATTTGATAAGAAAAAAGTTACATTTCTAAATAAAGTTCAACAGTAATCAACAATTGATTGAAATCATGTGTAAAATGAATACGTCATCAGCAATATTATTTGGAAGCCTTCTTCAGTATTCATTAAATACTTTATAACTTAAATAATTACTGATAATGAATAATAAAAATGAATTTAATAATCATTTAATTGTGAATCATTATATTCAATGTATGATTTGTTAAATTGCAATAGAATTTATGATGGTATCATGCATTTAATGTTGCCTAATATTGTGTATATAAACCTAGAATAGTTTAATCATCATTATTGTCTATTTTATTGTAATCATTTTCTTAAATTTTTGATGTAAATTTGGCATTTTCATCAGATCTACTGTAATGAATTATATTGAAAATAAAATGTATCGTAGCGTATTATAATTTTATTTTCGATGGTAGCCATTTCCATCTGAATATTTTATGATCACTCAAGATTATTTTTACTGTATGTGATATTTTTATTATTGGCAAAAAACTTTAAATTTTTTACGAATATCACACAACTCAAAATTGAAGTGAGCCATATAACTATAAAATATATGTTTTGTACTCACTGACATTACTGCTCTTTTGTGTCTGTAGCATATCTTCTTATCATCTCTTTGACAAACATTGTTCAATTGTCAATTTCAAATAAAATGTTTTGTAGATCTAGACTGTATGGATAAATTAATTGAATTTCTATAGATTAAAATACTTAACAATTACAGTATATGACTAAGAGGGCTAAATCAAACATCAAAGCAACTAATTTACAAAACTTCTAAATATTGGGATATATGCATAAAAGATTAATGTTACTTATAAATATGTTTTTATGATTAATTTCAATGATATGACTTTGAATATTGTATCAATTTGAACAAAACTTATTTGCTTTTCAACAATATTATCAACTAGAAAGAGAACATGCCGAAGAAGTATAAATTACAATTATATATTTGACTAGTATATTTTGTTGTATTCGCACATTTAATTTAAGAATGTTTTTATTTGAATACCAGTAGAGGTAAAAGAACAAATAAGAGCATATTATATATACATTACACTTTCATTAAGTGTTTTCTGTGAGCTGGTGTACTAATAAGGACATTACTTTTATTGTAAGGTACACATTACAGGTCATGTGATGCCAGAACGTCAAGATAAACCCTTGTTTTGTAATCTTTTAAAAAGTGCACATGTATTATTGCAATATTAAGCATTAAGAGATTGACCTTATTTTCCCCGAGATATTTAACTATATAAGTAGATTAAAACACCTTAAAATGGTGTTAAATATGCCAAAGATTAAAGTTTTGTAAGGATAGCTTATAAAGTACATATATAAAGTTTAAAATATAAATAATAATTACATATTATATATTTATGAAATCACCTTCAAGTGTACTGTATGCAGGTTTAAACGATATGTTTGTCCCCTGAAATCAACTGAAGATTTTTTGTATCATGATAATAGCCCTTTCTAAGTACCTAAATTAAAAGAATCAAAAGTGCAAAAATCATGTTCACTAAAGCCACGTTAATTACAGCTATTGGGATTTTTTTTGTCAGGGAATGTTTTACAAATATATTTTGTTGACATATATATATTATTCATTGGCATCAAATAATAACAACAGAGACTCTTTTTGTAAAAGCTTTTTTAATAAATGACTATACTAGGGATATCACTTCTAGAAACACTGTGACTCATAGTGTTTATATTTTGAAATTGTTACACATTATGGCTTTAATAATACCCTTTAATTATTTAACAAGATACTGAAACATATACATGTATGTATAGAAAAAAGAATACTACAAATTGTCAGTTATATTTAATGTTAACATGTCCTGTTGGCAAATTTACAAACTGTACCCGGTAGTAGAGTAAATATAGATATAATTATAAAGATGAATAGTAATGAGGGATTAAATCCCACATGCTGTGCTAGGCCGCTACACTTGTTATAAAAGGTTTCAATTTAAAGCTGCACAATTTGAAGTAATGATTATCACTTCAGCTTTGTATCTAAAATCCATCCATTTCCATCAGCTTACAATGTTCTCTGTAAGATAAAATCTAGGATTATTCTTTTCAAGCATTTGTAATGTATCTCAATGATGAATAGTCCTGTCTTAACATGGTGTCTATTTACTGATAATAAGATATGATCTTAACAGGTTAAAGTTTTAAATTGATCTTTCATATTAGAAAGGAGGCCTTTTCTTATCACTCTCTTTCTATATACATGTATATTATATATTTTGTATACACAGGCACCTTGGCAGCAGTTGATAGATAGTAAATCTTGATAGAAAAAATTTGAAAAAAAAGGTTGTTTTCTTTATGTTTGAAATATTTTATGTCTATGCTGAGATATTTTGAGACTTAAAATTGCATGCCTCTAGATTCATGCTAAATTTCATGAAACTTTTTAAAATATAAAAAAAATAATAATATTGTCAAGTAAAGAAAGAAATAATTTATACATTGCAAACAGCACTTAAAATTATCTACAAAAAGTACCCCAAAAAGACTAGAAAATATACAAAATTTGGCCAAACTGTGTTACATGTAGTCACAGTGTTAAATACTGCAAAATCAGTCACTAAATGCATATAACACATAATATTTTACTTGAATTACTTTTCTTCAAATATTAGTATATGTACATTTTTCTTAAGTCAGCTTTTCTTGAATATTTTGGCTCATCTGGAGGCATGCTTTTTTTACCACCTGAAGTGCATGTTTTACTTGTGTATATATTTATATATATATATATACAAATGTAAAAACAGTCATTTTAATAGTCGGAAAATGCTATTTAACAAGGGGGAATAAACCAAGTGAAGGCAGGGCTTCCATTAAATTCTAAAATTTGGAAGTCAGAGACTGCAAAAAATTTAACACTGGAAGTCACATTATATAGGTAAAGAAGGGAAAGGGTTATAATTTGGAGCCAAAATCAGGAGTAAATGTGTTTCAAACTTCCACTTATGGAAGCCCTGGTGAAGGTCAATGCCAGGTTATCATATCATTATTGGAAACTGAGTTCTAAGTGTAAAGCTTGTACATTTGTACTTCTAAATTTTTACAATAATCTTGCAGCACATTGAGTTTACAACGGTCTATCAGTATGACTTCTACTGACACTCCGCAACCTGACAAACATTTGGTGGTATCCGTCAACAGGTCATAGTTGCCAGAGTAGAAAACAAAGTGTAAACAGATATAATTTTATTATTATGTGCATACTTTTTCAGTGGTGCATGCCTGAGTCTGGAATAATGTAACAGACCTAAGGTAGACTTAATTTCATTCAAAGGCAGGTACTTGAGTAGGTACTTAAGTAGTATGAACCACCAACTTTATCAAACTTGATTTATTGAAATTGCATGGTTATATATTTCAGGACTGGGAGTTTATAACAAGATTCTGCTTTCTGTCAGCCAAGGGCACACTCCGATTTACCTTCGAATATCCTATTGTAAGTATATACCTTCTCTACGATTTACTATGTACATGTATTAACCCATTATTTGATAGTTGTCACATGTTCAAGTTCTGTTTCAAAACAGTCCATTATCAGTATCACTATCAGTACAGGCATTTCAATGAATATTTATAAGTTGCTCAGTCTGGACAGAAGGCTTGGATGCCCAAACTGGCCTGTCTCTTTACTGATGGCAAAAGGGCTTTGCAGTCTCTCTTTCAACATTGTCAAGATTAAGGTACATGTATTGTCAGTGTGTAAGCAAAGGTTTACACTATTTGTCATATCATGTTATTCCTAAGATAGAAACAGACCTACCTTTTACCCAAATTACGTAGTAAGCTTTTGAAAACTTATCAGTGTAATTTGATATATTATGTTATTTATTGATTAGGATGTATATTAGTTTACTTTCCTAGTAAGATTAAAATCAAAGAAAAATTTACTGAACTTGATTTACGTTTTGTTTGTATAGATCTTTTTTAAGGTATGATCTGATCTGAATTAAACATGATCAGTTGTGATTTATTTATTTTTTGATAGGGGGGGGGGACTCTATAAAGTTCAAAGTTCAAATGACTACTTAAAAGCGTCAGTGGTTGAGGAAAGCCTCAGGTGTCTGTTCATGTTTAAGGCAAAAATGAAAACCTGTTTTTACAATGTAGATTTACTAAGAGCTAGATGGACAGCTTCCTGACTCACATTGGTGGGTGTGTGTGTGTGTGTTAAGGGTGGAGGGGGTGATTTGAAGTAAAACCATAACTGTTATCCTTTTGGCTGTAAACCTACAGATATTGTCAATCTTCAAACGATCTGAATGTCTTATACTTTGTTACCGCGACTAGTAAGGCAAGTGATATGCTGGTAATTTAAATAAAATAATGTAATATACTGTTGTACCATTCATTAAAAACCTGTATGGTTTACTTCAGAATCTGATACCAACAAAAGGTCACTGAATATCAAATGTGACAGGTCAATACTGCCAAACAATACATTGAGACTTAAATATTTTGCATGCAGAAACATGTACATGTAATTATCATTTGTCAATTATATTTTCTTTAACTGTTCTTTTCAGAATAAAGCTATTAATCAGATCAATAATTCCTGTTGTAACAGGATGCTCGTGGTGAATAGATATTAATATTTGTTAGAAAGAAGAAAGGAGTCATTATTGACATAAATATAAAATAGCAATAATCTATGAATAATTTACTGAAGTTAGTTTAAGGAATGCAGTATCTGATGATAGCTATATGTGATGGTGTTTAATTTACTTACTAACAAGAAAATTAAACTTTTGCTTTCTATAGGGGGAAATGGTTTCTCCTCTTTTCTTTCCTCAAACCAGCCCCCTCCCCGACAGTCACACCCTCTCCCAGGCACCAACACCCCCTCCCCGGCACCAATGCTCCCCTTCCCGGTGTGGGATGAAGGATGATAGATCCCTACACTGACCTTTTATTTGAATAACAATAGATTTAACCACAAACAATAACATGTGTCCTTTTGTTTAAAAATACTGGTACATGAAGGTTGTGGTATAATTCTTATTGAAATCCACTCATCTTATAATTAAAACTACACAGATTAGGGCCAATTTAGGGGCTTCTAGGGATCAATGCATCACCCTAAAGACTTGATTGTTTTTGTGCAATTGACTTGTTTGATTTTGAATTGGAACAGTTACTGTTCATTGTTAATAATAAAGATTTCATTATCAATGTGTGACAACTGCACAAATATGCAAGTTTGCTGGAGTCTGTACTGATGGCATAGGCTGCATGTCTTTTACCACCTCGGCCATTCAAAATGTTTAACTTACAGATCTAACTTGAGAAATAGTAGGAAAATGAGAAATTGAGAAATAATAGAAAAATTAGAAATACATGTAATAGGAAAATGAGAAATACCAGGAAAATGAGAAATGATCGTTATAAAGCTTGTTTGTATTGATCTCTTGGTATAAATACATGACCACAATAATCTGTTATTTGATTTATTTGTCATTATTTATTTAACCAGAAATACTTTAGGCAAATAGAGCTTCATTCTTAATTAGTTGTTGTAAAAATAGACAATATACAATCATGTGAAACAATTTTTATTTCATTTTAGTATTAAGTTTCTAATTTGCAAAATTTCAGAGAATGAGATGTTCTTCTCTCAAAAATTTTAATTTAAGTGGTTATTGGCTGACTAACCTTGTTGATAATGGTCAGTTCCGAAAATAGAAGCTGGACTGGTCCATTAAATAAATTCAGCAAGATAAAGGTTAACTCTTTTACAGCATGCAGCAAAATTATTACAGACCAAGTATGCCCACAGTATAGCGCCAGGCAAACCTGTATATCTGTTCCATTTGACCAGGCTCTAACATGTTGGTTGCTCTCAAACTACTTGTTCAAAGCAGTGACCTAGAGGTTAAGGTGTTTGCCTCTCAACCCATGGATTATAGGTTCAAGTTCTACTGGGGTCACGACCAATTGTTTCTTCATATGATACCATTTCTGGTTTAAGTTCCAGGAAGTAGACACAGGAGTTGTTCGAATAAGTTTCATGCTTTCATAATAATGGAACAAAAATAAATATTTTTAAACTATTTAAAATTCAAAGAACCGCAAGCCAAACCTTTAGCCTACTAGAGGTAACTGATTCTACCCATGTGATCAGTACAGACAAAGAACGTCTGATCATTGTCTGCACTGTTCGCTATTCAGCTTGTACTTTTTAGAAATTTTCCCTAAAAAAAGATGAATAGTTTGTCCTGATTAAAAGATTGACAAGTCTATATATATAATAAGATATTGAGCATGGTGAGGGTTCAACAAATTTAGCAGGTAAATGCATTGTTTATTAATCTGTAGGTTTACAGGGCTTCCACACTATGATTAAGTTCCAAAATTTGGATGTCAGAGACTGAAAAATGTCTGACATTGGAAGTCACATTATATAGGTAAAGAAAGAAAAGCATTAAAGTTTGTAAGCAGGAGTAAAAGACTCCCAAACTTCCGCTTATGGATGCCCATGGGTTTATATAAAGCTGTTTAAGATTTGTTGGTTGGAAGAAGTTAAAAGTTACAAACAGATATAAATCTAGAGTGTTGGCAAATATCATGTGACATTATTAAAACGGCACTTTGTTATCGAAAAAATCAACATAATTCTTTCTATTTGATATTTGCACACGAAGGTCTTGTTTGCATTTATCTCAAAAGGTTCTCTCAAAAACATTTTTTACCATGCTGTCCTTGTTAAAATAAATACTTTATCATACTTATGCCAAATTAAGTTACCTTTTTATGGGGGGGGGGGGGAGTGTGGGGGGGGGTCATTTTGTTGGAAGTTAATATCTCAACACATTGATTGCGATTTATTGGCCCTCATTTATTATGATATATTGGCCGAATATCACCTCTTAATAGTTTTATAGGTTTTAAACCTAGATTGTTGAATTACAATTTGGCAAGCATTGGTCAAACTAAAATAATGTACAACATGGCTTTATTTAACAAGCCAGCCATGTGCAAAAAATTATAACGGATTAATCTGCGACAAGATTAACTCACTTCTCTGTGTTACAGGAAAGCTAAATCCTTACAAATTACGCTTTAAATTATGCTACCTTATAATACAACTAAGGTTTGTTTAACCCTAGTATTTAATTTTGAAATTGACCTTAATTACTGACTGATTTAGTTTATTAAACTAGCCTTAAATTACTTGTCTCTGTCTGCTGTTTGGTTTGAACTCATTTAGGATCAGATTCTATTATTTGTGAAAGTTTACCAAAATTTCTTTTTGGTTTGACTTGCCTTTTTAGATTGCTACAAAAAACAAAATAAAAAAACAAGCAGTTTGTGACATGACCAGTGGTGGTCACAACTGCATGTTAATATTTAATTTTAAGGTCTTTGTAGCCAAGTGGTTAAGGTAGCTGACTTTGGTTTCCTTGCCTCTCAGGGTTTGAACCCCATCCAGGGACTCTTCCATGTAAGAGAGCTTTTTTAAAGAGAGTTTTCAAAAAAAAAAATTAAGCTTCTTACTCAATCCGTAAAATTTATTTTACATACTTTATTATGTAAATGAAATCATTACCAGTAAATAATGTCTTAACTAAGAGAGCTTTTCCATTATAAGCCACAATGGAAGTTTGTTGGTTCTTCATTGCTTGTGTGTTCTTTTGTATCTGAAATAATGTACATTTCAGGAGCAATGAAAGTAACAACTTGGTTAAAATAATTAAATATATACACATATGATATATTATTATATAATTAAATTTCAGACATATGGACCACAACATATATTGCTGTACTATGACACGCCGGACCAGTGGGATGCTGTTTACAAGTCAGACAAGGTATAAAACAACAACTTTTATCCATGACTTTTCAATGTTTAAGCTGCATGCCTCCAGATGAGCTGAAATATTTCAAGAAAATCAAACTTAAGAAAAATATACTAAGATTTTAAGAAATGCATGATTCAAGCAATAATTTACATGTTTATGTGTGTAACTTTCTTACATTTCTAGTTAAACTTAATTTTCATATGTTTTATATTATGATCTAATTAAATTTAAGTACATGTATTTTTGAATTTAATCTTCTGGTATCAGAAGACTTTTAGGACAGCTACTCAGTTGTCCTATTTGAAAGTTCAGCACTCTTGTAATGGGTCAATTAATGAGTGCTTTTTTTTAACCTTTTCCCTTATATAAGCGTATCGCCAAGAAAATTTTGGACTTGTGAGAGGCTTTAAATGACCCCAGGTCGATCATAAGATAACGTGTAACCAACGCCAAAAAGCCTTTGACTCTATCTCAATCCCTTGAGAAGTTGCAGCACTTTGAAATAAATTTTGATGGAAAAAATCGAGGCAAAAAAGTGATTTTTGGCAATTTTGAGATGTCCCCTCGTTGCCATGGTAACAGGAAATTTAAGACTGAGCATGTCGTTACAAAGGCAATGGTCCAGTCAACATTTGTGCCAAGTTTGATTAGTATTGAAGCATTTTTCATAGTTTCATAGCAGTTTGAACTTGTGAGAGGAGGCTTTTCAGTGAAAATGGCCATTTTTCACAATATGCTCATGGGGGAAAGGGTTAAACAAGACTAAATAAATTCAAATACAATACTTCGAGTATTGTATAATACATATGAATAAATTATTGAGAAGATACAACATTTAGCAAGAATCTGCATGGCTGTTTGCCAAAATATTCTTTAAACAGGAAAAAAACCAAAGTTTACTGAATCATTATATAATAATCTATTAATAGATATTGATTTAAAGAGACATTTCTAAAAACTGAATTTAATTATACATTATTTCAAATTTTATCAGATGAGCCCCTTAGTTCCAATACTTTAAGTGTTGAGGATAAAATAATGCTTGAACTAGTGCTGGAGAGATGTTACATTTTCCATTTATAAACTCTAGTGAACAGATCAAACCAAATATGGAAATTTTACATTTTTACTATTGTTACCACTGCCTCTTTTTTCAGATTTTTATTTCATAATCACTACCTTTAAAACTAGACTTTAGTTACAGGTACTTAATAATGTCAATTGACCAATATTATTGCCAGTTTTTCACCTTTTGTCCTGTATTGGCGTACTGCCCTTACACAGTGTAAGTCTATTGGAAATGGTGTAAAGAAAATATTATTATAAATTTTTAAAGAATGAAAGATCAATAAGAATTTATTGTACTTTATGTAAGAGAGCTGTAGTTTATATTTAGTAACAAAAATGAGATACGCTTCATGGTTTTATGTAAGGGCATTTATAGTGTTATAATATTAATGACAGCTTAAATGAGGTTTAAAACGTAGCATAACATGTGAATTGTCAATTATTATAGAGTTATTAAATTTAGTTATTAAATAACTATTTTAATCAATGTGCCAAAGAAAGACGTAAAAATGATTAAGCAAATATATTTTAAGGAAGTTTTCAGTAGTTTCAACTGCCAAGTTATAAGAAATAAATTTATACTTTTGAACAGTTTTTATTTGCTTATATTTCTATATGAAAACTCCCAAAAACGTCCTTAACTCAGATAGTTATGTAACATGCCAGATCCTGATAAGTTGTTTTTGAGCTTTTGATGGTTTTTAAAAATGAAACATGTATTTAGATTATATGGTACAATAATTTTCCTTAAGAAAGAGTATAATCAACTGTGTTTACCATTCAGCCTGTTGTTTTGTCAGTCCTTTACTTTTTATAAAGAAATGATGGAGTCAAAGTGGTAAGCAAAGCAAGGGTAGCATAAGACTCATGATATGTTTCCTAATATATTTTTAAACATACCAGTATCAAAAGATTAATTCATTGAAAGGGAAAAAACCTGTATCATTAAAGCGACCATCTGCTTTACTAAAGGTTAAATATGTTATTTTTAGATAAATTGTTTTATATAATTTGAAATTAAAAGAATTAAAGTGGAAAATGAAATTTGCCGATGATAAAATACATAAACAATTAGGAAATACATTGATACCTGTAATTTAATGGTCCACTATCAAAATATAAAATTAGTATAGTGGACAATTTGTTTCCCAGCCTTCTGTTTTTAGAAATGACTGTCATTGACACTTTATATATAGCTCTCGGGACGCTGGTTTGAAGAAAGCTTTACAGTAATGTGATGCACTTTTCGAAAATTACTGAAATACTTACTTTGAAACAACACTGTTCATTGTTTATCAAACAGAAAATAAAACCTGAAGACAACTTTAAGTGAAATGTTATAGATGATATAAAATATTTTGTTATAATATAATTATTCTCTACAGACGTGCAGACAGAAATTGGCTGTTCTGGATGTAAACAATAATCAGATTATAAATCTGACAACATCGTATGGTCTTTCCGGATGCACCATTAACAATGCCGGCATGTATAATTGTGTTGGTGGCCGTATATTTCGGTCGTCACGTGAACGCTGGTGGTTTATTGCCGTCAGCCATTGTGACCGAGACCCCTCCGATGTAAGGGTCAACAAGTGCTCTTTGTCTCTATGTCTTGTTCTAACAGCGTTTGTGTGGATGTGATTGCTTTATAACATTTTTGGTAAAAGTTCAAATTATCTCTACCGACTGAATCAATACAATGCCTAACTGCCTGTTAATTACATGTACTATGCATTTTTTTATCGTAATTTTGCATTTCATTTTTTTTTTACTTTAACAATATGTTATAAATTTTATCTTATCTCAAAGGAATACAATGACAAAATTGCCCAGAAAATAAAAAAGTTATTTTGGTCTTTTGATAAAGCTTTGGCAATGACTTGACAAAGAAAAATAAATACATTGTAATCATTTTTACAATTGAATTCTTTTAAAGTAAAACATGCTAAAAATAAAAGTAATGTTAAAGATTAAAAACTATTTGTAGAAAGCCCTTTATCTTACTTTAATGACTTTAAGCTGTTGTAATTCTGTATTTTTTTCTGTTCAGGGGAGATAATTTGAAAATAAAAGCCATAAAGAGTTATTTACCTTCACTTCATTTGAATTTACAAAGGCAGATTATGTTAAACTGCACTGATATGGTGTTCTAACTTACTGCCTAACAAATTTCACATAAAATCCCCATATTTCACAACATTAACAGATTATGTTTTTCATTATTTTTCAGTACAATGTAGTCTGTTTTGTTCATGGAATCATAATTTTAAGAATTATTATTTGAATACTTAAACCTTTTGTTGACTTATTTCCTTAGTCATGTACAGGGAAGTTGAAGCCTCTTTCCAACAGTCAAAGGATTGAGATAACTACAGCAAATGTTCTGTCTGGTTGTGTGACCAAAAAAATAGGTGATAGATGGAAATATTATTGCCAGGGCGGAAGAACATTTAGGTCTGCCCGCGAGCGCTGGTGGTACGTTGCTGTTAGCAGATGTGACAACAATTCTAGCGATGTAAGACATCATGACCTTGACCCTGATTCTAGAAATTCTGACCTTGTAGACATAGGTTAGCTCCCCTTCCATAATCACCCTAGAACATGTATTCTTCATTCAGAACTTACAAAATGACCTTTCCGGTACGAAAATATAGTATATACACATATAAAATAACACAGTTTTAAAAGAAAGTTTTAAAAGGGAAAGAGTTATGGTTATTGTGAAAAATTCAAATGTAGTAAAAAATCTGTTTATTTGACAATATTACATAATATATGTTCACAAAATGGTTACGTTTTACTAAATTAAGATACTGTAGATATTTTATTGTATGTGTTGAATTTCATTTACTTGGAAGTATTTAAAAAAATT